AACCAATAGAACACAACAATATTCTCACGGGCGCACCCCAAGTAATTAAAAAGATGATATGTTGTCACTCAGTACTACGGTCTGGTGGTATTCATCTTCACTTAGAAATGAGAGATTCTTAGGTTCGAATCTTGTGGATAGCGGATTTGATACCAAATTAGGCTACTCATTATGTGGTTTTGCCGAACTCTCTCTTCTCTTAGTGTAAAAATATCGATGTACTAAAATAAAAAATAAAATAAAATAATTTTAAAAAAAAAGATGATGTGTCTTTGCCATTTTATGGGCCACATCAACCTGGTGAGTAAAAATTGATCTACAAGTTTTGGATTTTCCAGCGATCAAATCTCCACTGATTGCGATCAAATCTCCACTGGTTGAAGGCTGATCTGATTTAGTGAATCTTGCACTCCATTGCAATTTATTTGATACTTTAAAAAAAAAAGGTGCGGGGGGTGGTGAAGGGGACAACTAATAGCAAGCCATAATTATCTATTTCTTCTGGGTTCGGAGAAGCTATGAGGAATTTCCCTACCTATGGCCACAGTTAAGCAAAAGCACCAGCTATTTGACTGCAATTGCAACGTTTTGCTCACAATTTATTTATTTTTATTTGTATGATATTGACAAGTAGCGTAAAATAGTGTGGAGATTTTCTAAACAAGTTTACATTGCAAGTTTTCTTCAATAGTTTGAGAAATAAATAGTGAAGATTGATTCTAAGAAATCGAACAATGTTATTTAAAAAGTCAAACTACATTATAGGCTGGACTACCGAAGACAAATATGTTTACATTAGGACAATGACAAGTTTAGGTTTTCTCTCGTCAAACAATGTCAACTTTAGGTTATAAGGGAGTGGAAAGGCCTCTTTGCTTACTTGCCATAATTATGTAATGCGTGTATAATCATAATAGTAAGGGTAATGCTATTCACGCATCCATTTTTATCTTCCACACACATTTGTTAATTTTTGTCCATTGATTCTTTTCAATACGTTTGATCTGATGATCAAAAATTTAGAAAGGTGTGAAAGGTAAAAATGTGTGTGTAGATAACTCTCCCCAATAGTAATTATGTATTCCTATTTGTTTTATTGGTAAATGTTGACATTTTCATGAACTAATTAAGAATGTTCTCAATTTAATTCCTTGTGGTGCGCCATATCACAATCACACTTAGCTCTAGGGTTGGACTCGCTTGCACTAGCTTCACGCCGATTATGTGCATGGCGTGATGGTGATTTGATAATTTCGTTTTTTGAGTTCGAATGAACTCTATCATGATTTCGTTTCTTGGGTAATAAGTATACCTCTTACATATTTATTTTTTGAACAAACAATATTATCTACACTAAAGAAGTGAGGAAGTGGCTAAGCCTCACAATTGACTAATAATAATATGGTTCAACTCCGACCTCATGCAGTTCCACCACACTTGGTGTGAGGATTGTCCTAGTGAGACGATCTCACCGATTATTTTCTCTAATTTTAATTAAACTATCCTTAACTTTTAACCATTTTATACACAAAGAGGTGTCCTTTTTAAGGGAAAAATAACTACAAAATAAGAGTAATTGCATTCGGTTTCACCTTCAAGCACTATACATATTATTCATTTCATTCGGTTTCACCTACTAGCTAGCAGTCTATGCATGTGATAGGATCCATTTCGATTTTGGATTTTGCTTCCCAAATTGAAATTTACCTTTTCAATTTGATTTACCAAAATTACAATTCGATTTTCGTTTCACCTACTAGCTGTCTATGCATGTTGATGTGATCGTGTAATGCCAAAATTACAATTATATTTACAATACACTGAATTTAGGTCCTCTTTTTTCTCACTTTGTGATTAATAGACTTTAATTATAGAGACTATAAATTTTCTCCAAATAATTCGAGCCAAGTTTGAGTTAGAGAAACTGAGTCGTGCTGAGGTTTGAGCACCTTAGTAATCGGCTTCAAATAAATAGTAAAGACTGATTTTAATATTACTTCTAAGAAATTGAACGGTGAAGATTATTTAAAACGCCGGACTACTTGATATGCTAGACTCCCAAAGACAAATCTGTTCACATTGAGGACAATGGACAAGTTTAGGTTTCCATTTTTTTTTTTAGAAAAATTAAAGAAAATGACTTCAAATTTTTATATTTTAATAAAAAAATTATTCATTAACTTTATTTAATGATAAAGGACAAAATAAAAAACATAAAAAACACCACACGCGCTGGGCATATTCACATCCCACTCCACCCCCCATTTCCACTTTGTTTTCTCCCTATTGTCAGCTAACATTAAGCCATTATTATTATTATTATTATTATTATTATTATTATTATTATTATTATTATTATTATTATTATTATTATTATTATTATTATTATTATTATTATTATTATTATTATTATTATTATTATTATTATTATTATTATTATTATTATTATTATTATTATTATTATTATTATTATTATTATTATTATTATTATTATTATTATTATTATTATTATTATTATTATTATTATTATTATTATTATTATTATTATTATTATTATTATTATTATTATTATTATTATTATTATTATTATTATTATTATTATTATTATTATTATTATTATTATTATTATTATTATTATTATTATTATTATTATTATTATTATTATTATTATTATTATTATTATTATTATTATTATTATTATTATTATTATTATTATTATTATTATTATTATTATTATTATTATTATTATTATTATTATTATTATTATTATTATTATTATTATTATTATTATTATTATTATTATTATTATTATTATTATTATTATTATTATTATTATTATTATTATTATTATTATTATTATTATTATTATTATTATTATTATTATTATTATTATTATTATTATTATTATTATTATTATTATTATTATTATTATTATTATTATTATTATTATTATTATTATTATTATTATTATTATAAGAGAAAGACTTCAAATTGAAATACATTTTCCCAATTTTATTTTTGTGGTGTTGTTTCCCAATAGTAGTCAAGATGACAAGAGAATTTTTCAATGTGCCCAGGACACAGAGTGATATATCACGTCTTTATACAAGTGGTGAGATTCTTGTGTTAAAAAATAAAATTTCCCACAACTTACATAATAACATGTGGTGTAGAAAGTTAAGATTGTAGGTGGAGGAGAAGAGGAAGCCGCAGATGGGCAGACAATAGAAGAAAATTAAGTAATTGGTGTAGAAAGTTAAGAAATTGAAGAGATACAGAGAAAATTTGATGAGTATCAAAGAAAATTAGAAGAAGAAAATGTGTTTGGAAGGTGAGAATGTGCCAAGAAAATTCAAGAAGAGGAGAGAGAAGAATGTAGTACCCAAAGTTTCATAAACAGTGTAATATCGTTAAGTTTCATGAACAGTGTAGCACTGTTAAATTTCATAAACAGTGTAGTACCGTTAAGTTTCATAAACAGTGTCGTAATTTTTCATAAACAATGTAGTAAGTTTTATAAACAGTGTCGTAAGTTTCATAAGCAGTGTAATAAGTTTCATAAACAGTGTAGTACTGTTAAGTTTCATAAACAGTTTATGTGAGGACACGTGGATCCACATGTCAGCTTTTTTTATATTTTTTTAATATTAAAATTATGTATTTTTCATTAAAATTTAAGTTCTTTTGTCATTTTTATTAAAATTTAAGGGTTTTTCATTAAAAATTAAGTCTTTTTATTAAAATAAACTTAGCCCAAATATTTTTCATGAAAGTTCCCTTTAATAAATTGGTTGGGGTATGACCTCTCCATCATTGGGGAGAGTCTAAACTTCAGAGGGCCATTTTCACGCGTGGAATCTCCTTGAATTTGTTCGCATCTTCTTATGGAATTTTTGTTTTTGTTCGGATTTTATTAGTCGATCTTTGATAAATTACTGATTATGTTATCACAAAATATTAACTCGTTAAACCACACCTTCGTTGTTTCTTGATTGCAATTCAGTCATTGCACAACCTCAAAATTGTTCCCGAAACTTTGATGAAATATATGATTTCAGCCCGTGAAACTTGGCAAATTCATCAATTATGTTGAACTTGACGTATTTTAAATTTTTTGAATGCCTAAATACCCCTATTTGAATGGTTGATGTACACAATTAATTCCATGAATTGTAAGGAAGAATGAATGGTTTTACATAAAAAAGATAAAAAAATATTAATGTTATAAATTCATTGCCTAATATATAATAACGATAAAAAATACCTAATGTATGTAATAATAAATGTTTAATTAATGTCACAAAAATTATATAAAAAGTACAAGTAAATTATTTTCTTATTAAAAAATTATAATTGTGTAGGTTTTTTTTAATACGATTGTTCGCTCCCACAAATAGTGAACTGTTGTGGCCTATTTTACTGAAGGGAGAAAGAGAGTGTCTTTATTTATAGTAAACTAGATAGGATTTTTTGCCTTGCAAATAATATAAGATCTTCTAGTATCCTAAAAAGAATCTACATATGGATCTAATATCTATTAGAAAGTGATATCAATGTGGTATGAAAAATGTGGTAAGAATAACATTTTTTATAATTAAAATCTAAATTAAGGATCATCTTCCTAATGTATAATTATTTAGTAAAGAAAATTTAAATTGAAAAATTAGATTGTATTTCAACCATTAAAAGTGTATAAATCTAATGACTTAAAACTTGTGTGTAAAATGTAGTACCACGAACCTGCCCTCATATCTAAACATGTACTGATAAAAATGGACAATATCTTGTACTTTTGTACATTCCAGCAAAAACAGAAAGAAAGAAAGAAAATACTATTGTCGATGCAGAGTCACCACATGATCCATGCACGTATTTTCTCTTTCGTAGTCATTACAATTTACATTAAAATTCACCCTACTATAAATCTTTAATCATTTTGATCGGTTATTACACATCCAATTAGTTTCAATAGCAAGCTGAGAATTTGACTCTCGCCCTCCATGGCCTCATCATTTGTACTCTCCTTCATTGCACTAATTTCAATAGCCATCACCATCCCCCTCTGCATGTCCTCTCCTAAAACAGCACTCCGAGGCTTCGAGACACGTCTCATTCATCGCGACTCGCCTGAATCTCCGCTATACAACCCTAGTCTCACTCGTGCTCAACGCAAAGAAGCAGCTCGTCGCAGAAGCATAGCCAGACAAAATTACCTCACAAGGCGAATGTCACCAGCAGCAGTAAGTAACGCTACTGCCCGCATTGATTACGATAATGGAGTCTACGTCATGAGGTACAAAATTGGAACCCCTCCAGTTGATACATTTGGATACTTTGACACTGCTAGCGCCTTAATTTGGATGCAGTGTAATCCCTGCAAAAAATGTTACAATCAAAGCATACCAATCTTTGAACCTGGAAAATCATCCTCCTACCGAAAGCTTATGTGTGACGATGACCGTGTGGAGTGTGGCCTAGTCCCAGATAACGGTTGCCCAAGTGAGGATGGTTCATGTACTTACATTACGGCTTATGAAGATGGAGCGTCTTCCGAAGGAGTCGCTTCCAAAGAAACATTCATGCTCGAAGGTGAAACAATCCCCGATATGACTTTCGGGTGTGGTCTGAAGAATTCAGATACGGATCCGGATGAAAATCCGCCAGGAGTTGTTGGTGCAGGTAGAGAACCAAGTTCACTTGTTGCGCAATTAATTAGAGAACGGACTCGTTTTTCGTTTTGCATTTCGCCTTTTAATCGAGGTAACCGTAGCAATGTGAAATTCGGTTCAAAGGCAGTGATCCATGAGGGTAATCAGACCCCATTATTACCTGGTCGATACGGTTGGTACCATATAGGGGTAGAAGGTATTAGCGTTGACGGTACTAGGCTCAACATTTCGGAGGATGTGTTCAGATGGAGGCCAGAGGGAAGAGGAGGCATCATCATAGATACAGGAACAACATATACTCACCTTGCATCGGAGGCTTATTACGCAGTCCAGAGCGCGGTGATAAATGCGCTACCGAATTACAAACACAAGATAAATCCCCATTCGGAGTTCCTGCTGTGTTATGATTCGGATGATGGCTTCCATATGAACATAGCACCTGATATAGAGTTCCATTTCAGAGATGATCGCCGACATGGGTTTGATTATACATTGGATCCGACTAATGTTTGGAATGAAGATGACTGCATGACTATAAAACCAGATTATCATGGCCTTTCTGTGTTGGGAATAAACCAGCTTGAGAATGTGAACGTCGGGATCGACCTTCAGAATAACATCGTAACTTTTAAGGACACTGATGACTGTCGGGATACCTAACTAATGTGTGCATGGTATAAATAATTAGTGATGTGGTCTAAAATGCGGTGCAAAAAATTCCATCGGTATCATCATCATCCCTGTACCATATATTAGGGCTGAAGAATCAAAAAGTCGTTTGTTGTTTCCTTTTCTGGGACTGAAAAATATTTTATGGTGGGTACTGAAATTATTATTTTTTTCTTTTTCCAGCAATTGTGATTGGTAATGAACTTAGTATGCTGGAAAAAGATCAATTTAGAAACTCTGGTGCGTGCTAGATCATCATCTGCCCTCACACCAGCATCATCATCTGCCGATCACAGATTGATATGTTGGATTGGAACCATGTAAGTACTGCTCATTGACGACCACGATGATCCCAACAACCGTGGCTGCAACATCGGGTGGTCGTTTGTTTGTGATCCAATTGAAGGATGGAGATTTGAAGACTTTGTATCATATGTTGGCTCCTCTCCAATTAATGGCAAAGAAGATGGAGCAGGCTCTTCTATTTACTACTTGAACGTTGACCCTTTTTTCAATACAATTATATTGGGGGTGGGAATTGAGCTATGACATATAATTGGAGTTCACAATTTGGTATCGTACTCGTCATCATGTAGAATTGAACTTAAAAGCCTCTCACTTACAAGCAAAAGAGAAATGTGAGCCTTTGGTATTATTACAAATCGAAATTTAAAAATGATTTGAGTCCGAATATCATGAAAGTTGTGACCTAATTTGAAATGTTTGTGATCTGTTTAACAAGCCTAGTGTGCTCCAGCAAAAAGATACAAATTCAAACCTCACAGAGACGTACAGACATTTCAAGTTCCTTTTTCTTGTTTCTCTCAACCTCTCATGGAAAAGAAACACAGAATCATCAAAATGGCAAGGAAAACACTCTCGGAATAGAGGAGTCCCCGGCGAACCCCATCCGGTCCATTACTGCACAGTAGCATCATCAGATGATCATGAGCCATCAACGACCGCAATGGCAACCACCAAAGGATGCAAGAGCGAGTGGTCCTTTGTTTCTGATCCGGCTGAGGGCTGGAGAGACTTAAAGATTGCCCATCTTATCTCCAGTTTTGCCCCCGACTCATAGCAAACACGATGGATGAAACGATGACTCCTCACCGATCAACTTGTTTAGGTATCATTTGATTCAACGTTGAGCTTGGTACATCAAATAAAGTAGAGTAATTCCAAGACAAGTAAAGGAGTGATTTCCCTGTTGAGTACTTGTAGATCATAGGATGAAAAAGCTTATGGTTTATATATTTGACATTGATACATACTTCAACACTACCAAGTAAATAAACTGAAACCCCAAGCTCCAGATGTCTCACCAACTTCTTTATCAATCTGTCTAAACCGCAATCGTACGCATTACTTCACAAACCTTCGCCCCTGAAATGTAAAAGAATTATAAGCCTAGGGGATACAGTGGATTGTTTCAAACTTAGGAACTAAAGTGAAATCTGTCAAGGTTCTAATCATCATAAGTTTCCCTTCTTTTTTACCTTAACAAGCTTTACCCTAGGATATACCTGTCTGTCTCACCCACTTCCTTATCACTCCAGTAAAACAACGGCGTGAGCCGTGCTTTGACTATAATGCCATTGAGCAAAGTTCAATTGGTTTTTCAGAGATTATAGACAGCTGTCATAAATTTTTAATCTAATCCTAATATCAAACTGTAACCAAAATTCCATCAAAGACAAAAGTTTCGTATTTCAGCTTTAAGAGGATAACCGGAAGCTTAACAGACTAAGTACGAAGCCTCCAGCATTGAAATGTTATAATCCAATAAAAGAATCCTGAAAATCTAAATTCACTAATGACATTAACATAATGTTTAGCACACAGATGAGGGAAAGAGATATCCAACCAGGCTAACTACAGAGAGGTATGCAGGTCCCACCTTCTGGGTTCTGCTGTTCCTTCCATATCCGTCCCGTGACCCGCAGCTTCAGCTCTTTCCTATCCCCGCCAGAGAAGAAAAGTGCCATGTTGCGCTGTATTATGAGGCCATCATGGCTGTCTCTAACCTTCTTGTGGCTATCCCTTATGCTTCTTGGGTTGCCCTCCCAAATCAGCTTTCGGCCATTTCCACCAACCTCCAAGCTGTAGCTGTAATTCCGAGCTTCTGTTTCATCCCCCATGAACCGGAGAAATGCCATGTAAACGGGGGCCATACCAAGCTGGAAGGCTTCAAAATGTAGACAGAAGTACTGACCAAAACAGTGGAAGACCTATCAAGGATGAAAAATAAGACAATTACTTCGCTACCATAAAAAAACCAAAGCATACATCTTCAGTCTGCTATAGTCACAGTTGATCTAGTCTTAAGTATTGCTATCAAAGGTCCCATGATTCCTTTAGTCCCATATTAACTGGGAAAGTTAAATTTTGCCCCCATAGTTAAAGTGACGGTTTCTTGATTTATGCAATGCCCACTAATTTCTAGTGTGAGCGAACCAAGCAATTTTCATTCAGTCACCAGTTTTATACAAAGAGGGAGAAACACGTATGCACTTACAGTTAACATCCACGTGGCATTTTCTACTTCACGAGGATTAGACTTTACATAACGATGATTAAAAGTGCATCCGGAATGCATGTCCACCTTGTGATCATCCCGGAGATGAGAAACAAGGAATGGAATATCCCCAACAGCGGAGCAGTCTGATCCAGCATATGGACAGTTGTATGGTCTGAAGTTACAGACAGCCTCGTGTTTCAGTTTACTATAATAGGGAAATATCTCTGAGCACCCAAGAGAGCAATACTTGCAGGGCAGTTCAAGCGATTCAGCAACCTTCTCCAGTGCTAGACACCTTATGTCACCAAGCTCCTGTCTACACGTTGGGCACCGATTATGCACCCTTGCTTTACAGGTGGAACAAAGGGTATGCCCATTGTGACACTGCAGAAACAAGTTTAGATTTATAAGCCATAAAGGTCAACCAATCCTAGATGAATTTTACAAGCAGCTACATATTATCAATAGAATCCCCATGCTTAGCCATCCCAAATAAATCTAAGGATAGCAAGTCAATGAGCATCCCTTGATTTCAATAAGCATAATAAGCATATTGTAAGGTAAACAACTCCATTTTCCAGAGTAGTTAGGGGAGGTCTACTCATCCGAACTAAGCCACAGCTGAAACTCAGCAAACTTGCATCTTCAAGTAAACATCACAACACCCCCAACACTTAAAATGAAGCCAAAGCGATGCATTACACCCCCAGCATAAGGTTATATGACTCTATATCATCTACAGCCATGAGAGATGTAAGAGTATGTAAGAGAGGCGGAGTAATTTTATACAGCCACACACTCGAACAAAACAACTGATAAACTTCTGTCCTAAGCAGCAATGGATTAATGAATAAATAGTCTGAACTCCGTGCACCCAATTTCAAGCACAATACCTTTATGCAGATAAAGCACATAAAACATCTCTATCAATTGGTGGTAGTGTTACCACACTCCACCTGTTAACCCGCTTCACTTTACAAAATAAGTGATAAATACGTCCACAATAGCACATTCACCAACCCCAGGTATCTGTGAACTTCGAAAGCTCTTAGTTTTTATTAATCCCTTTCAAACTAATATGATCCTTGACGCATAATTCACCAACCCCAGGAACTATTACGTAAACACAATATTTAGAACGAAATCTGATTCTGTGCCTTGGTATTCCTGTTACTCGGAACTACAGAAAAGCACTTACAAGTGAAGCAAGTTTCAAAATCTTGAAGTTATTCTAGATTGTTGTAGATTGTTACAAGTGAAGCAAATTTCAAATCCTGTTACAAGCAAAACTAGAATTGTTGTTGATTGTTGTTTAACAAGGATAAATAAGTAAAAGAATCCTAATTGACAAGGATTAATTTTTAAAACAAAATTCAGAAACTGATAAGTATTTTTCACCTTCTAATAATAAATTCAATAAACTACCAAACAAAACCCAGAAAGAGAAACACCACATAAAATTAAATCCCACAAAAAAATTAATCAATTCAACAAATCATCATTCCTAGCATTAACCCCAAAAAGTCAAAATCTTCAAAAACCAAAACAGGCAAAACAAAATCAAAAGAACAAAAGAACCCAATTGAGGAAATTGCAAGAAATGGCGAACCTGATGGATTGGAGGGTACATTGAATTGGTGCAAACAGGGCATTCAAGAAGCTCGTGGACGCTGGTGGTGCCGGGAATGTTATTGCCGGTGTTGCTGTGCGCCTTCGGAACTGAAACAAATTGATGAATCGGACGGCCATGGATCTCATCATCGTCAATCAAATCCAAAGACGCAAGACTTTCAATGATGTCTGATTCCATTCTTCAATGGAAACAAACCCCCACCACCAAAAATTTAGGGAAAAAGATGAAATCTTTCGATTCTTTGACTGATGGGTATGATTCCCCAATACGCAATTATACAAAAACGAATAGAAAATTGGAAGGGAAAATAACGAAAATTTTGGAATGCATTGTGCGATGAAACCCAAAATTTTATTTTGTTTTTTCGCAAAAGGGGTGCTTCTTCATCGTTGGTTTACAGATAGAGAGAGAAAGAGATGGGTCACCTTCCCGATGATATCAGCCGTCTGATTAAGATCAGACGGGTATCAAATGCCCGTTAAAGATTCAGTTAAGGGTTTTGATTGGTAGGTTAATAGAATAGTGGGGGATTAATAAAAAGGTAGGTTAATTTAGGGAGCTTATTTAACCATTTCTGATTTGGTATTTGGTAATTGGTAATTAGCTGTTGTTACTGTGGAATTAATGGGTTTTGGTAAGTAGCAGAAGACTAGGGGCTGATAATAGGATGCGGAAAGAGATCCTCTCCAGATCTCTTCCTTCAAATATTAAGAATCAAGTAATTCGGAGAGAATCTTTTTCCAATGGAATGCCTCCCTTGTGTATGTGGTGCATATTATTGTGATCTATTTTTTTGAATTTTTAAAATGTGGGTCCCATTTTATCCTTATAAAATAT